GCGGGGGGTGGGGGGTGGTATATCTCCCACTCCCACAGCCCCTGGGGGGGGTTATATCCCCCATTCCCACAGCCCCTGGGTGGGGAGGTGGTGTGTTCTCCCACTCCCACAGCCCCTGGTGGGGATATATCCCCACTCCCACAACCCCGGGGGGGTATATGCCCCATTCCCACAGCCTCGGGGGCGGTCCCAAGGCCGTACCTTGTCGGGTTTGAAGTTGGCGGGTGCAGGTTTGATATCGGCCATGAAGGGGCTGTATTTGATGTCGTCGTTGTTACACAGCACGTGCACAGCATACTCTCCCGCCTCTGTGGGCCAGTACCGCACGTCACACGATCCATCACCTTTATCATCACACTCAATCTTCGCCTGCGAGGGCCCCTCCACAGAGAAACCTGTTCACATACACAAAGACAGGGGTATAAGGCCATTCAGCCCATTCCTCCAGCCTGTTACACAGGAACAGGAGGCCATTGAGGCTGTTCCTCCAGGATGAGCGGAGATGGCGCAAGAGGAGGGGGAAGGGAGGATGAGAGAGCAGGGGGCAAGTGTAAGAGGGGGAGGGGAGTGTGCAAGAGGAGGGGAGGGCGCGAAGAGGAGGAGGAGTCCCCAAAAGGCCTTTCTGCGCCACACAAGGGGATAGAAAGTGTCCCACACCGCACCGCTCCAACCAGCAGACACTTACCCAGAGTGCCCACGTCTGTGCCAATGGCTTCCACCACGAAATCAGCTGACTGTCCAGCCACACCCCCCTCCAGACCAGGGCCCCAGGCCCGAACCTTCTGGGGACCCGCCACAGAACCAACTTTCACCTCAAATGGGCTGCAGAGGGAGAGGGGGGACGGGGACAAACAGGGAGAGAGAACAAACAAGGCTATGAATCAGAATGAACCAAATCTCAAACAACCCTCCCCTCATCACAAACTGTCATCCATTGTTCACAGAGAATGGTGGGGTGGGGGTGGTAATGGGAGGCAGGGGTAGGGGGTGGGGAGGGAGAGGGAGAAGGGAGGGAAGGGGGAGGGGGAGGCAG